GGCCTAAGCCAGGTCTTATCCATAACAAGTGCAGTGAAGCTCGGAAAGTAATTTGGTCTACGGGATAAATTAGACCTTCGGGAGACGACTTGCATCAATTTGATTTAACAGGAATGTTAGCATCTGATTTTCGCATTTCCTTGACATTACTGGTGCAGCTCTAGTAAGAGAGATACCCAAGGATAGCGAAAATTTTATGCTATTATGTTTGCGGTAAATGTAAAACAGATGCAGCACATTTTGTTTTTAGCACAGCACTCCTTGACAGCGTTTAGTGTAAGCAGCTAAGCCACTTCCTTCCACCACTGTAAGTCAGTGAGTTGACGCTAAGCCGACTTTACCCATTTACATAAATAAATAGATGACTGGAACCCCTAATAAGCATAAACTTAAGGCATATTTTGCATGCTCTGAAGGTACACATGGGCTTTTAAAGGGCAAATCATAACAAGTGACTGAAGTCTTTCCATATTTTCCTATACAATCTGTTAGCTTTCCATGCAACATTCAGTCAGCCTCATTGGTTGCATAAATTTTGCAAAATTTTGACAGAAAGCATCAAACCAACCCTTTAAATCCTATTTGAGTTCCCAAAACTAGTTTTAAAGGACAGTTTTATATTTTGATTTCGGTCGACAACACTGGAACATCCTCTGGTTCTCGTCGTTTTGAATTTTAAATGTAAAGTATAAATAAAGGTTGTTACCCCCTTTAACTCAATAAAATTATGATGCCTTTTGATGGATTAAGGCGTAGCGAACAGCATTAATAAAATGTTTGCAGTGATGTTTAGATTGGTTAGAGCCAGTAAGTGATCACAGCAACCCAAAATTTTTATTTTTATAAAATGTTACTGAAAACAATTTAGTAACAATGGTGTTTTCTTTGCATTCACTAACATAATCGCGATACCATTCATTTTTGAATTTCGAGGAGAGAATGTAGCGATATTTGTGGATCCAGTTTGATTTTACGTAAGAAGTAGATAGAAAGGAAAACATTTTCATGGAGTTTGCCAAAAAATTTAAGCCCTTTCCTGGAAGCCTAACGAAGTAAAACTTAGTGCTGAAACTCCTTAAAGTACACCATCCTTAAGTTACTCACTTGCTTGCTGTAAAACTTTGCAGCTAAAGTGTATTTAAGTTCTAGACTAGTCATGAGGAAGATAATAAAGCAACTAGTTTAAAAAAGGTTAGCCAGAGAAAGTGCTGAAGTGCTGCACTACCAACTGCTGACGTTGCAACGGGCATGGGTGAAGGGGAGGCTAAATCACTCATAAGCCATACCACACCGCTACACACTCATAAAATTGAGGCTAAGCTACTAAATTAGCATAAAAAATTCGTATAAATGCATATATATGTTATCTGAGCTCTTAGAATGGCACTGAAAATAGGCTATTGAGGAAGCAGAAGTCATGCACAACTACAGTTCACAAAACAAAGCAGTCATCAAGAATGCCGACATGGTCGATGAAATGCAACAAAGAGCAGTTGATTGTGCTCAAGATGCCATGGAGAAGTTCAACATTGAGAAGGACATCGCTGCACACATTAAGAAGGAATTTGATAAGCTATACTCTCCCACATGGCACTGTATTGTTGGTCGTAACTTTGGCAGGTGCGCTCTCTTCCACCTTCTTCTCTTTCATTTGCATGCCAGTCTATTCCCTTTATGCGCTTTCTTCCTCCCTCCTGTTTCAGCTATGTAACTCACGAGAGCAAACACTTCATCTACTTCTACATGGGTCAGGTGGCTATTCTTCTCTTTAAATCCGGTTGAAGTTTAACGGGAGGAATAACAACTCCTTCAACAGGATGAGCGATTATTTTGTTTGTCAAACGTTCTCATAAAAAGTATTATTGTATAAATTGTTGTCAATTGCTTTGCATATCGCAGCTGTGTTGTGTGATTAAATGATAAGGGAGGAGGAGGAGAAGTGACAAGACCACAAAGCCCTTCTCCAGGCGATGATCGGTGCCTTGAAGGCCTCTGTTGGAGGCTATTAAAGACGTTCATAGTTCATCTTATTAAGTGGGGAAGCTAACAAAATCACGGGTGAACAGGCAAATTTAAAGACCTGACCATAAAAGGGAAGTAAATTGCTGTGGTGTGCTCGGGGTTGAAAAAACTTTTTCCACGGAGGAAATGTCATCTTTTTGACGCGGACACAATGGAGTGTAGGGAGCAGCCATTAAGAAGAGATTCCACCTCTTAAAC